TTCGTTGTTTGGCCAACACAAAAGAAGAGGGGTGGGGTTCACGGTTTGGTCGCTGCAGAAAAGGAGGGGGCGAAGTTTGAGATTTAGTCGTCTAAGAAGAAGATGGGGTTAGAGTTTGAAAGATTTGGTCGTCGATCTTTTTATTGTGTATGTATATATCTATACACAAGATTGTTTTATTTTTAAATACAATTAAAGAAATGATAAAAAGACCAAAATGCCCCTTAGTTAGTGGGCTTATTAACGGTACTTTGTCAGATAGACCAATTTCAAAACAAAATGGCAACCACAATCACCACCAGTCAATAAAGAAAGTTTAAGAACGAGAATTGATAACAAGTGGCAACTACAAAAAATAAAAGTGTAATCTACTCATAAAATTGAAATAAATATTTTTAAATTTAAAATATTAAACTATGATAAACTTTATATTAAACAAATTATGCAAAAAAAAAAAAAAGAATTTTATTATCTTTAATATAACACTAATATGAATATATTTTTTTGTATTTTTTATCAGGTCTTCTAATCTTAAAGAACCATATAAATTAGATTTTATTTTCTATTTTTTTAATAGGAAATTGTATTAGTTTTCCAATTTCCATTATTGTTTTATGATAAAATCTTATATCTCGTCACAGCTCATAAGTACACAACTAGTGTTTTTAAAGATACTTTCTTTCCCAAAGCTAATTGGATCAATATTACATATATTTTTTTAAAATAAATTAAATAGATATACTAAAGTCAAAAATCTAAAACCTCTAGCTACCCTCCACCTTTCCATATTCCACGGACCACACATACTGCATACGACCTCCCCCCGGCTCTGTTTCTAGCCATGCCCACCGACAACCTACCTTCACTCCCCTCTCCAACTAGTTACCCACTCTCCTGTCATTTATCGTACAACAATCTAAGCTATGTTGGTTACTTAGATTTTCGTCCACGGTGCTCCAAGAGTCTCAGTCATGGAATACACATTAACCGTACATGAGATTTTCATCTCATACGGCTCCTGATTCGTAGCCATGTGTTCTAATCCTCTGAGCTACAGACCCCACTCCGTCGACCTATGCCAGTTTATTTGATGATAGAGAAAAAGAAAAATAACAATACAAATATAAAACCATCTATTCTTGCAATGGCATTGGCATTGGCAAGTCATTAAGATTCAAATTGTTTCTTTATGGCCACACCTACATATTATAGAATATTGGAATTTTGGTGGAGCCAAAAACAAACAAAAAGAGTTAGCCACATAGATACTTATTTCCTCGACTAAAGATAAAAAGTATAGTAAATTATATTTTTCATCCTTATGGTTTGTTAAAGTACGGATTTTGCTTTTGTGGTTTTAAGAATTTGGTTTTCATCTCTATAGTTTACTGTTCATTTTTATTTTAGTTTTTAAGGCTAAAACACTACTTTTAAATATAAAAGACTAAAATAGAAATAAATTGTGAACCATAAAGACAAAAATCAATAAATTTTAAACTTTAAGAATAAAAAAGATAAATAAATTATAGACCATAGGGATAAAAATTATAATCTAAAAAACATAAAGACAAAAATAGAAATTTTAACAAACCATAACGTTATTTACTCAAAAATATATCTTTCCTTCATATAACATTTGACTTGATTTTATATTTTTATTTTGAAAGATGAGCAACAAAATTGTATAAAAACCAAATGAATGATTAAAAAAAAAAAAAAACTGGTCAAGATGGTCATTTCTTTTACATAAATTGGTCTTCTAATTATTTATGTCTTTGACTTAATCAAATATCACTACGTCCACAAGTTTCACATACGCACTTGCGGACTCTAGCTAAAAAACAAAAAAAAAAATCAAAGTTGACAAAGGTCCGCAATTGCGAATTTTGCGACGGCAAGGTCTATAATTTGATTTTTTTTTGTCTTTTAGTTGGGTCCATAAGTGCAGATATGGGACTTGCAAACGTAATAATATTTGAATAAATCAGTGAAATAAGTGACTAAAACACCCATTTATATAAGATTAATTACTATTTTAATCAATTTTTCTATTAAAAAATCAATTCAGTTTCTGAATATGCAGAATTAAGACACAATCTTTCCCACAACCAAAAAAGAAAAGGACAAAATCATTAAAAACCAAGTAAATAAACAAATTGTAAAAAACCACACCAAAAAGCCAAGGATAGAACCAATTATAAACCATTTGACTTCATTTATAATTTATTATTTTATAATAATAAGGATATTTCGTTTATTAATTAATTAAAAACTTGAGTAAAAGAACCAAATTGTTTAATTCATTTTTGTGAATTTCATACATAATTTAGGAGTATGATATTACACCAATCATTATTGATAATAATTTTTAATGTGTTGGTTTAATTTAACAAATTAACCTGGTTTTAGTAAAAAAAAATATTCAAAAGTTTATTAATTTTTTTAAATAAGTTGAAACAAACAATAATAATTAATTTAAAATTTAATAAGATATGATAGAAAAAACGGAAAGTTGGCTCAAATAACCATTTCACACATCCAAATTGGTCTTTTAACCATTTCTATTAGGGGTGAGCAGCGGAACCGGGTACTCACTTGCGGAACTGGAACCAATATGAGTGGTTCCAGTTTCGGTTCCTAAAATACGGAACCGATTGAGAACGGTTCCGGTTCTCAATTTTTCGTAACCATTACCCGCCGGGTACCCGACATGACCGATTGTGCAGTTCTTTTTTATATATTTTGTGTAGTTTTTTGTAAAAAAAATATGTGCAGTTTTTTATGTAATTTTTGTCACTTTATCTATACTATATTATAAAGCATTTGACAAAAACTCTTAAAAACTACTTTTTATGCGTAAAGTACTGTTTATTGATGCATATTACTTAAAACTCAATATTGCAAGTAGATTGTGTGTAAGTACTACTTATTAAAGCTTCATATCTGAATTCGTGTAACTAACTGCAGATAAACATCTTATTTTAAATATAAAAAATCTAAAATATAATTAAGATAATCATTAAATCCTAACAGAATACTTAATTATTATATTTATAAAATGTTATATTATTATACCGAAATAAATTATTTTATTATTAAACTTAAATTAAATTATAATAAAAAAAATAAAGAAATTATATAAAATTAAGAACTTTTAAATAGTTGATTTGATATTAACATTGATATATTTTTTTTAAACTTTTATAATATCTTCAAATTTATATTTTATTCAAAAATAAAATCATTATTGCTTTCTTAAAATACATAAAATCGTATCATAGCATCGACAAAGACAAATAATAAAATAGAATATTAAAATTGAGATGTGTCTCGCTGCATTGCGCGAGTACTCTTCTAGTGTTAAAAATATGTGCAGTTTTTAAGACAAAGTTTGTGTAGTTTTTTTAACATTCAATTATTCACGGCTACCGTACGAGGTTGAGGATGCGATGCGTATGCAAAAAGTTGAAACGAGATTCAGAATTTGAAATAAAATGATTCATATTTTCTCAAATTGTGTGTTTAATTGGATTCGTAGTATGTAATCGTTAAACTTCCAACATTTACTATTAATCTATTATGGTTGTAATCGTTAAACAATATTTGTAACCATTATTCCGTATAATTTATATTCTTGTTTATTTATTTAATGTTTTGACAATGTTTTATTTTTTATTTCTAAATAAAAAAATTAATATTTTAGGAAGCGGATACCTGGAACCGGAACCAGTTCTAGTTCCAAACATTCAAGAACCGCTCTAACCGGTTCCGGTTCCAATATCTCAAGAATCGCCGGTTTCGGTTCCAGTTCCTGTCAAATAAGGCGGGTACCCGCCTATGCTCACCCTTAATTTCTATCCCAGATTGATCCAAATATCACTACTTCTACAATATTACGGGTCTAGCTAAAAGACAAAAAAAAAAAAATCAGATTCAACCAGTTTACCGTTGCAATTGTAGATCTAACCTTTGCAATTGCATATTGTGTTGAATTAGATATTTTTTTTGCCTTTTTAGCAAGATCAGTAATATCGTGGACTTGGACATTACGAAAGTAATAACTTGTGTATCAACTCAGAAGAGAAATAATTATTAGACCAATTTAAATATATAAAATAATTGTTTGAGTCAAAGATCGTAGAAAAAAATAATATATTTATGAAAACATGGAATAAAAGAAATTGCATGTTTTAGCAGAAGGTACAACTTTTTAGTGTATTTTTGTAAGTTATTGTTTATTTCCAATGGAAGAAGGAGACGTTTACATGACATCTTGAATGTCGCACCAAGATTCCATCTTCTTTTTTGCTTTTCTAATTCCCTCTCTCCTGCTAAAAGCAGCAAATCATATTAAGTGATGATAGCCTTAGCCGGGGAAAGTTATCGTAACAAAAGATTTTTACGCTTTAATTAATTATAATTAAATATCAATATTAATGAGGTGCATCGAGATATACCAGATTAATTCTCTTCTAAAAATCGTAATTAATGGGTAGGCATGAAATTAAAGGTGATCAATGGTTTGAATCTCTTCTAACATAATTTTTCTTCTCATACGATCTTTTACTTAAATGATTATTTGTTTTTTTTTCCCATTAATTAAGTTGTTTATTTGGATGAATTTGATCAATGATTTTTAGAGAGGCAAAGATAGAGAGTTGAGTTATTTTAGTGGGAATTTCTAGTTTAAAATGGCTTAACAAGGACAAGTAAAAGATCTTGACTTATTCTATATAACCATTTTAGCTTAATGCAATAAAGAAAAAACACTTCAAGTTGAACAAATAACCCGCCACTTAAGCTACCAAACCAAATCAAGAGGATTTTTCAAACAGGTTCATGTGACGGACTTCATGTTTCCGAGATGTTGATTTCATTTTAGTTCCAAAATTGAAACTTTTGTTTGGTAGTTTCTCAGAATTACTCGCAAGATCTTCATTTTGATAAAACTGTACCCTTTTAACCACCCTATTTTTAAGAAATATAACTATGACTTCGATGACGAAAAAAACCCGATGTTATACATTACAAGCAACCCATATCATCTCGTTCACAAACACATCTCATCAAGATTTCCAAGACGACACAAAATCATGAAAATTGGAAACACGACACGATACACTCATACTACCATTGATTTCCTAACTAGATACCGATAAGCAGCAACTTTCCGTTTCCGGGAAGCCGTGTTATTAATGCATAAAACTAATTTCCCGGCTTCTTTTGCGGTGAAGGAGTTGTGCACTGCGTCATCCGTGGCTACCATCTTCCTCTGCTTCTCCACCGCAATTGTGTAGCTTCCGGTGGCATTGGGTACAAACTCTGCACAATATTCCAAATCCCACCCTCCCACAACTACGTCCCAAGTAATCGTTGCACCTGCCTGCACGATTCGTTCAACAAATCGGTAAAAACGATACGATTGAGGTCACTAAACACAGCTTCCATTCCACAAGGTACAACTTATTACAGCATGGTTGCCGTTATTTTTTAGTAAACCACGATTTTCGTCCCTATGGTTTGTTTAACAATTACAACTTTTGTTCCTATTCTTTCAAAATTACGATTTCCATCCTCGTGGTTTGCAATTCATTGTTGTTTTTGTTTCAGAGGTTAACTCCGACAATGATTTGTTAAGTATGAAAAACGAAAACAACAATAAATATAAACCACATTGATGAAAAAAAAAAATGAATTGTAAAACAAAGGAACTAAAACCGTAAATTTAAAAGCACTGGATGAAAACAAGGAGACTGATTGCACCCCTATATATAGAGTTTGCTATTCATACCGGATACTTTTCTCCTCGCACACATCAACATCAAAACTTAGTTTTTACATTCTCAATGCATAAATTGACCTTATTTTGACATAAATAGGGTGCAAATAGGAATCCCCTTTGAAATAAAGTTTGCTATTCATACCATACACTTTAGGGTTGTTTGTCAGTTGTTGAATGTTTTGGTGCAGAATGATTAAAAGACTCATGATATAGTGTAAAATAAAATATAATTGTTCGATAATTATTTACAACAAAATTAGGGCGCTCAATGGTTAACAGAGACCCATGATACAAAATCATTCGAAGGGTTTTAGAACCATTAAGAGACGAATTTCTTTTTTTCCCAAACAAGATTCACCTCTTAATAATTTAAAGAAGGGGGGTTCAAAATCACGATTTCCATCCTTGTGGTTTGCAACTCATTGTTGTTTTTGTCTCAAAGGTTAACTCCGACAATGATTTATTATTAAATATGAAAGACGAAAACAACAATTATACATGGAAAAAAACAACGAATTGTAAAACAAAGGAACTAAAACCGTAACTTTAAAAGCGCCGGATGAAAACAGCCCTTATTTTAAAAAAGGAGACTGATTACTACACCCTTATTTATTGCTAAATGCACCCTACCAAATACTCTTTTCCTCACACACATCAACATCAAAACTCAGTTTTTACATTCGTAATGAATAAATTGACCTTATTTTGACATTAAATAGGGTGCAAATAGCAATCCCCTGTAAAATAGAGTTTGCTATTCATACCATACACTTCACGGTTGTTTGTCAGATGTTGAATGGTTTGATGCAGAATGATTAAGAGACACTCATGATATAGTGCAAAATAAAATATAATTGTTCGGTAATTATTTACAACAAAATTAAGGCGCTGAATGGTTAGGAGAGACTCATAATACAAAATCATTCAGAGGATTTTATAAAACCATTAGGAGACGAAATTTTTTTTACCAAACAAGATTCACGAGTTAGAAGCCAACTTAAAATAACCCGTACACTACAATCCATAAAGCAAAAGAAGAAGTGAAAAAGAATAGGTAAAATTACCTCAATGCCCTCGATTTGAATGTTAACTTTTTCTCCACCTTTGACCGTGAACTCAGAAGCTGGTTTAGCTGGACCATTGTTCAACTCACTGGGTCGACTCAGACCACCGTATTGGATAGGTATATCCTCGGGCCTTATGTACCTGATAAAAAGCCAAATGTACAACTTGTAATGCATGCATGATATATAACCACAAAAAACAGAAACTTGGGTACAAAAGAAGGAATACCGACTTGTAGAGTGTTTCTGCAACATTTCCTTCCTTGGAGATCACAAATTTGCTCTTTGTCCTTTGAGTCATAAATGGACTCAGAATTGAATACAACATGCTGAAGTACCACGGTGTATTGATGAATATCTACACCCAAATTTCAATTTATTATTATTAAAATAAATATTTATTTAAAAAAGGGGGGTTTTCTGTGATGTGCATCAATGGGTTGTACGTTACACTCTTTAAAATTTGAACTGTTTTTGGGGGGAGACCAAGGAGATTTTAGGTCATTAATGATTGTAGGGTACAAATAATTGAAGCATGGAATTTCAAACTTATTATGGCCTAAAAGTTCTTGGGAGGGGGGTAATGGAGATTGTTCTGTAAAAAGAAGGCATTAATGGGTTGTACGGTACAACTCACTGAAGCAAAGAAAATCTAGCTTAATGATGGTTGCTTTGAATGAAGTTCTTGAAATGGAATGGCCATTTGTACAACTCATTGAATTACAAATTTTGAAGCTTTTTAGGGGTGAAATCTAGCTTCCAACCAACTAAGGAAAAGTACCCTTTTGAGTGGGTTATTTTGAAGGTAGAGTTGTTGAGATGGAATTAGTGAGATTGTACAGTACAAGTCATTAAAGCAGAAAGTAAGTACCTTACAAGCAACCATTTCTGGGTAATTATCTTGGAAGAGAGAGAGGATATGATTAGAAGCAACCCTAAGCTCTCTTTTGGGCATATCTTTAAGATCAGTGACCTGAATAATTGAGTTAATTCCTCCAGGCTTAAAATGCAGCATCTTGATCCCTCGTTCAAGAACTTGTACCCTCCACCTCAGAAACTTGTGCAACTTTTCATCATCTCCAAAGAATCTGTCGTACATTTCTTGATTCTTGAACATCCCATAAGCATTGTAACACACAGGATGGCCTTCTCGATCGAACCCATTCATGTAAGCCACAACACCTTCAAGTTCTTTAAACCCTAAATCCTCTTCAACAATGGAGTCGGCTCCAAAGTCCTGTCGCCACGAAAGGCATTTGAGGAGCATGTTGAAAGAATCTTGAACCCTGAACTCTCTTGCTCTAAGGAACTTGAGGAGGACGACATCGGATTTCTCTGTTTCTGAAGGGGTGGTGGGTAGCAGCAGTGGGATACCCCAGATGGATTCTTGGACATTGGAGGTGGAAATGAGCAGGTCTCTGAGCTCTTCAAGGGCTTTCTTTTCAGAGGATTTGAGGGTATGGTGATGGTAGGTGTCTTCTTTGAAGGAGGCTGCCATTATTGAGGACATGAAGCTTTTCTTAATCTTCTGGTCAGGTTTTGGGATTGGGTCTTTTGGGATTAAGAGGGGTGAGATTGATGATGAGTCCATTTTTTGGTTGAAAAGAATTCAAAATTTAGGGTTTGTGAAATGCGATTGTGAATGAACTGGAGAAATGACAAGAGAGAGAGAGAGAGAGAGAGAGAGGGGGGGGAAAGAAACAAGAAGAAGAAGAAGAAGTTGTGGGTCAGTTGTAATTATGATTGATTGTAATTTGAAACTGAGAGTGAAAGAGTATGTCAGAAGGTGTTCGTATTTGCATTTAAATCTTTGGAGTCTTTCATAAGGAATTTCTTTTCATTTTCCTTCTTTCAAAATCACCATTTTCTTATAAAGATTTGGTTGTATGAAAATTTGGGATTGGGTTATTGAATTAATATTTTATAAACCGTCTGAATAGTACAAGGATAAGGCTAAATGAATCTCTAATAGATTTTCTAAAGTTATGGACCGTTTACCTAAATATTTATCCGGTAAAATTCAACATTATCGTTTACTTATCGGGTAAGATTTTATTCACTAAAATACATCGTATGCAACAATTTATCTTGGTAAGCGCTAACTACGGTAAGAGTCTTTGTCCTCACTTATCGGATAAGACTCGAGATTCTTGTTTTCGTTCTTACCAGTAAGATTCTTAGTCTTTGTCATATTCACTTACCGGATAAGCGCTAACTATGGTAAGAGTCTTTGTCCTCACTTACCGGATAAGACTCGAGATTCTTGTTTTCGCTCTTACCGGGTAAGATTCTTAGTCTTTGTCATATTCATCCGGTAAAGTAAATTGACTCGCGTAAACGTTTGGTAAACGGCACTTTAGGATTTTGGATAACTTTTTTATTCAACAAATTCTTCAAACCATAGAAAGTAGGAGAGAATGTGTAATTTTTTTCAAATTTAGACATCTCTCTAAAAATGATTACCACTAGAGAGAAATGTTTTTTTTATTATATTCCACCTAGAGGTAACTTTGAAATGAAATGTTCATTGGAGAGAAATAGTATTTAAGTAAATTTATGTAATATTTTAATAGTATAATTAATGATATCGTCTTCAAAATGGAGAATCTATTGAAGTTGAATTCATTTTTTTAACGATTTTGAACGTTGGTTCTTCATTTTCGAAAACTTTTAAAGAATTTGTTTGAGATATTCTTTATCTACTATTTTCATTTTCATCTCATGACATATTTTTCACATTAATTGGAGTGCATATTACAACACCTATATAAACCGTTCAAACCACCTAAATGGTATTTTTCGTCCTTTTAACGTATTGATATCAATCTATTAATTGTCTCATTCGTTTGTCATTTGAAACAAATTACCATATAAACCATAACTGGAGTTCACATAGAAATTGTCACTTTTTAGTTTCTCACTATGTTCCACATATGAAAACATTACTAAAACTTCACATATGAAAATCTACAAATATCGTCACTTATTGGTTTCTTAGTTTTTCTAGACCCTCCCCTTTTATGATGAAAGTCGCCACAGGTAACAACCTTCTCTCTCCAAACAACAACGATAGTCCTTACCCCATTGCTTCCTTCTTTTCCTCATTCCTAAGTTGAGTAGTTTACCCTCTGGCAACAACCTTCCAGCACTTCCCTCCTCCTATCAAAATGATGTTGCTCCTGATCTGCTATGAAATGATGATGCTCCAGTTTCTATAGGTGAAAAATGGTGTTACTCATGTTTCTATCAATGTGTAACAACCCACATATTTTATGTACCGATAATCCACATCATCATACTCATAACACAAAATATAACATCGTTTACAAAATACAGATTAACAAAATACTTTCTTATAATACATTTTGAATAACTAAACGTCATTCATTCTAAACTTTTCCCTTTCCTTTATCCTGCAAGGTATGATGACCTGCAAAACCGGTTAGTCCAACAACTGA